TTTGTGCCGGGGAAATCCCCTCTCTTAAGCCTCTTCCCTTAAATTCCTCCCCAGACGACGCTGCAGACTGACGAGGTGAAAAATGTCCCGTGCGGTACCAGGTGAGACGTTCAGCTCCTTCCCCCTAACCTTTCACCCCGACTAGAGACTTTTGGGTCCTTCTCTTTCCCCGTGGATGCTCCTGTGCTTTAAAACCTGCAGATGTGCTCCCAGGGACTGGATTTCCCCGCAGCCCTGCACTGGGATCACTGGGAGGCTCTGTAAGGCCCTCCCACCTGAACTGGGATCACTGGGAGGCTCTGTAAGGCCCTCCCAGGCCCATGAGCCCACCCAGAGCTGTCTGTGCTGCTGTTCTCGGGGCTGAGGGGTGTTGGGTGCTGAGCAGGGCTGGGGTGGGTGCTGAGGAGTGTTGGGGTGCTGAGAGGGCCAGGGTGGGTGCTCAAGAGTGTTGGGGTGCTGAACAGGGCTGGGGTGAGTGTTTGGGGGGTGCTGAGCAGGGTAGGGATGGGAGCTTGGGGCATGTTGTTGGGGTGCTGAGCAGGGCAGATTGGGTGTTGGGGTGCTGAGCAGCGCTGGGGTGAGTGTTTGGGGGCTGCTGAGCAGGGTAGGGATGGGTGCTGGGGTGCTTGGGGCATGTTGCTGGGGTGCTGAGCAGGGCAGGTTGGGTGTTGGGGTGTCAAGAGGGCTGGGATGGACACCTTACCCAGCCCCCTGGAGATGAGGCAGTGTCCCCCCCAGAGCCACAGAACCTCAGCAAAACTGATGCCCTTGTGTCCCTTTGCAGTGGGGGAGTGATGATTTATTTCGACAGGATCGAGGTGGTGAATTTCCTCATCCAGAGTGCAGGTGAGCTTTGCTCCCAGAGCTGCCCCAGGCTCTGAGCTGCTGCTGGGAGTGCAGGCACAGCGCTCACCAGTGGCTGTGGTTGGTTAGGAACTGGGTGTGCCACAGGTGTGCCCTGTGCACTGGCACTGCTGGGTGTCACCTCTCACCCAGCTCTCCTGGGCACTTTGGGTGTTTGTGGCTCCTGTTTGCATCACTGGTGCTGTCCTGGCCCTGCTGAGCTTGGGGCACCGTCAGGACTGGCTGGAGCAATGAGGTGTGCAGGAGGCCAGGCAGGGAGGGCTGGGGGAGCTCACACCCTGCTGTGCACTGAGCAGGGCTCAGGTACTGGGGAGGGTGAAACAGAACAGCAGCAAATAGAAGTGCCCAGAACAGAGGGTTTGTGTGGCTGTGTCCCTCGTGCCATACCTGCACTGGGACTTGGGGCTGGGACTGAGCCACAAGGTTTTCTCTGAGTGCTCAGCCTATTTCCCTTCCTTGCTTCCTCTTCCCCTCCTTGCTTCCTCTTCCTCCCTCTTCCCTCCTTCCTATTCCTCCCTCCCTTCCTTCCTCTTCCTTCCCTCCCCTGTGCTTTGCCCTCTCTCAGTGTATGACATCGTGAAGAACTACACCGCTGACTATGACAAGGCTCTGATCTTCAACAAGATCCACCACGAGCTGAACCAGTTCTGCAGTGTGCACACGCTGCAGGAGGTGTACATCGAGCTCTTCGGTGAGCTGCCCCTGTCCTTCCCATGGGATTGGTGTTTCTGAGGGCTCTTTCCTGGGCAGCACAACCCCCAGCTGAGGGGTTTTGCCCCTTCCCCCAGCGTTTGCTCAGTTTGGGATTGGGGTTGTTGACCAGCTGCCATTATTTATCCCTGTTATCTGTTGGAGTTAAGTGCTTCAAGATGTTGTAGCAATAGACTCCAAGCCCAGCCCTGCCAGTAGCAGAGGGATGCAGGGAAGGGAGCAGGAATTCTGCAGCATCTTCTGTGTGTCCAGCAGCTGTGGTGGGTTGAGTCAGTCACAGGAAAAGATGGAAAAGCCACTCTGTGGCTCTTTGCTGCTGCAGAAAGTCTGAGGCTGCAGTGCCCATAACCAGGGCTATTGGCAAGGCCCTGCTGACCTTCCCAGCAGGAAATCAGGTGGCACAGGGAGACTCATGGCAGGAGAGCCTGGGAAAAGCTGTGGTTTCTTGGTGGAATGAGCACAGTGGCTGCCAGTGCCGAGCGCTCTGTTCCTGGCTCTGCACTGGCAGAAACCCTCCCAGCCTTTCAGCACTCAGTGGTGCTGATTGTGGGCACAGCACTGCTGTGAATGGCTTGGGAGCCCAAAGGGGCAGGATTTGTGCCTGGAAGAGCATGGGCTGTTGGCAGACTCCTGTTCTCTGTTCAGACTGGGCTTTCCAAGGAGCTGGATTCCTTTTCACTGCTCAGTTCCCCCCTAGTTCCTGCTGGTGGCTGGACAGGTTTCCTGGCCCATAGAGGCTCCAGATGTTGGCAGCTGCTGATGACAACTGCTTGAAATGGGCTCAAAGCAATGGATCTGCACAGAAGGAACTTGTACAAACTCCCCTGTAACTCTTGGCTGGTTCTGGCTCAGGCTCTGCAGTGGGGCACAGCCCCTTTGAGTGGCCTCACGTCATGCTCTGCCCCCACATCTGCCAGCAGGTGCAGGGAACTGATAGCAGCTGCTTCCCAAAGTCCTGGCTGGGCTTCATTAGCAGTCTGAGTTCCAGATAGGAAACTGGGACCAAAGCAAACAATGCAGGAGTGTGGTGTGATCCCTCTCAAGGCCGTTACAGTTTGATTTTCCCTGTGCACTTCCCAGCAGACCCCAACTGGAAGCTCTGCCTTCCCTGGAGCTGTCATCAGAGCAGGGCTTGGGATTGTGTTTCCTTTTGAAACCCTCAGCTATGCTGGAGTTCTGGGGCTCCTTGAGCCAAACAGACATTGCTGATGATTTTTGCAGCCTATTAAAGTAACTGATGCAGCCATTTCCCATTCCTGCCTTTCCATTTGCTTTGTGTCCTGCTGGCACAAGCTGAAATCAGTGGATCACTGGACCACATTACTTCAGGATCCAGTTGGGAAGATCAGTGGGAAAGGGAGTTAGAGCACAGATTCTGTGTCATAAAGATGCTACTTCTGGCTCAGGAACTGTGGTGTATCCCCAATGTTTGGAGCTGGTTGATGCTGCTGGACATACTGGGAGAGCTGGGAACCTGCCTCGGGGTCAGCCCAGCAGTTCTACATCCAACTTCCATTTGTACTTCCCAGGAATAAGAAACCCGAGTCATTCCAGCTTTCTCTGGGTGCTGGCAGACAGCTGCCCTGAGGGTGTTTCATTACCTCTGCTTTTCCCCAATCAGATCAGATTGATGAAAACCTGAAACTGGCCTTGCAACAAGACCTGACCACGATGGCCCCTGGATTAATTATACAGGTAAGCAGGATTTGACTGAGATACTGAAGGTGCAGAGCATGAGGAGGGGAGAGGGCTCAAAGGAAAGTGTGAAACCTTTTTAGCTATTTGCTTTACAACACAGATTTTGTTTAAACTGAGGAGAGGGAACAGTGTCCTTCCCATCCCCACACAGCTTTGATGCGTTGGGTTTCCTCTGGTGTTGTTCTGGGTGCTGATTTATGCAGTATATAATCTCCTGTTATGTCAGGAGGTCCTTCAGTCCTGTCCTTCTGTGGATTTTGGGGCTGGTAGCAGTCTGTGCAGCTCTGTGTGGCAGAGCATGTCCTGAGTGAGTGAGTGTGTGTGTCCTGTCCCCTGTAGCCCCAGGGGCCGTTTGGCTTTTGCTTGCTGGCTGCTTGCCCATGTTTTCTTCGCACTCTCTCTCTCCAGGCAGTTCGAGTTACAAAGCCAAACATCCCCGAAACAATCCGGAGGAATTATGAGCTCATGTAAGTGCCTCACTCACACCTTTGTGTTCCCAAAAGGAACCACTCAGGCACACTAATGTGTGCTCAGCGCGTGCCCCGGGCCAGGCCAGCTCCCAGCCTCGTGCAGCTGCCCAGGGAGGGGCTACAGAGGAGCAGCACTGAGCACTGGCTGTGCTGGAGGTCCCTATGGGGGGAGGATGTGTTTCTCCAGTCTGATTCCTTGAGTGCAGGAGTGATTTGCCCCAGGGCTCCTTCCCCTGGGCACTGGCTCTGTGTTAGAGCCCTCCCTGGGCAGTGGGTGAGTGGCAGGTGGATGGATTTCACCACTAATCCTATTGTTTGACTGGGATGGAGAAACTGTTGATTCAACAGGCTGAAGACTTGTAAAGCTTTGAAATAACTTTCTTTAATAGCACTTGACACGCTGATCCCTTTTCAATGCCCTGAGCCAGTTGCCTGCTCCAGCACTTGGTCATTCAGACATGCCTGTGCTCCCTGAGCATGCTGCCAACAGCCCATGTAGGCCAGGACAGATCCCTCCCATCCTTTCTGCTTCCCTGGCATTTCATGTGACCTGCTGGTGGTAAGTCCTGTGTGGTCTGGGCATGGCAGGCAGTGTCCCAGATCAGCCTGTGTTCTGTTGCCATAAATACAGCAGGACATGTTGAGAGAGACTTGTTCCCAATTCCAATGTCTCTTCCCTGACTGGGAGCAGAAGCAGTGTGTTTTATTGATGTCCACACTTTTAAAACTCATTAATGTACGTAAAAAACAGTTAGACAGAAAAGGCTTTAGTGTGTAAACTGTAAAAAGACACTCGATATTAAGACTGATGCGAGGGAACAATTTCTTTGTGGAAAGGACAGTGGTGAAGTCACCATCCCTGGAAGTGTTCAAAACCCATGTGGATGTGGCAGTTTGGGACATGGCTTGGTGGTGAACATGATGGTTGGATTTGATGATCTTAGAGGCCTTTTCCAACCTTAACGATTCCATGATTGAACAAAGGATGATCTCAGCCCTGTGTACCTTCAGCTGAAGAGCAGCCACAAGTCAGGGCAAGGCTTCTACAGACTTTGTTTCAATAACTTGCTCATTAAGAGTAGCCCAAAACCCTAGAGATGTGTGTGGCCTGTGACCTGTCTCTTGGAGAAGGCATCAGGGCAGGCTGCAGGGAATGTGTCACAGTAATTCCCTGGAAAAACACCTAGGAAAGAAGGAAAAGATTCAGTGGTTTAGCCAAAAAGCTCTGTGTGTGCAGGTACATGATTTCCTGGCCTGGACACATTCTGGAAGGAGGGGTGAGCCATGGTGTGAATCCCCATGCCAGTGGGCTCATGGTTTTAACTGCTTTCTCCTGGCTCCCCAGGGAGAGCGAGAAGACAAAGCTGCTGATCGCAGCACAGAAGCAGAAGGTGGTGGAGAAGGAGGCAGAGACGGAGAGGAAGAAAGCCCTCATCGGTCTGTATGGCTGGGGTGGTAGGAATGGGGGCGTGGGGCAGGCAGCAAAGAGACCCCAGAGCCCAGGGAGGGAGGGAGAGATGCACCTGGTTCCCTTTGGGGTCATCGGATATGAAACTCAGGAGTTTTTCAGGTGGGTTCCAGCTGAACCCACCGACAGACTGAGGCTTTCTGAGGGCTGGAAATTCTTCCCACCATTTATTTCCACCTGAAGCAGGTGGTGAGGACTTTCTGGGGTGAGGCTGCTTCTGGCATGAGGAAGATTATGTGATGACAGTGTGGGTGTGTTCCTGTTTTCATCTCAGAGGCAGAAAAGATTGCACAAGTTGCTGAAATAACTTATGGGCAGAAGGTGATGGAAAAGGAAACGGAGAAGCGAATTTCAGAGATTGAAGGTGAGTGGTGGGTGAGCCTTGCAGCAGGTAAATCCTGAGACACCATGGAGCTCCTGAAGTGTGTGTATTGGCTGTGTTCTTCAGCCCAGGCTGTGATGTTCACAGGGGTGAAGGTCCTGCCCAGGGGCAGGAATAGGTATCTTTCTCTGCCTCTTGAAACTCCCTTTCTTGGGTGGTGTTTTAGGAGGTTGTACTCAGTTAAGGAGAAGTTACCCCAGCCATTTGCTACAACACTTTGTCAAGGAAACTCCAGGGCATGGAAAGGGCTCTGCAATTCCAGCTTGGAGTGGCAAGGCCTTATTTCCCCTTACATTCATTATAGGCCCTGACAAGCTTTGCAGAAGGCACTGAGGAGACAATTAAGAGTTTTACACTTCTCATTAAGAAGTTCTTCCCAGTAATCCAATGGGTTTTATTCCCTGTAAATGTGTGTCACTGGGTGTCAGCCCATCGGTTCAGGTCTCTGCTGGCAGAGGACTCCTGACTCTCCTTCTTGGTGTTGCTGACTGGGACCAGCCACTGCTTTTAGCCAAAAGAGAGGACGTTGTGGGCCAAATCATTCAGGTGTTTACATGATCTTTCAGTGAAGAACTCCCTGCCAGTGGAGGTAAACAAATGGTTTATCCAGCTGTGCAGCTCTCAAATCCAGACTGTGGTGTTGCAATCCTGTGGCTCTGTGTCCTAGGAGGAATGTCAAGGGATGGGCAGATTACAGTGGTCTTAGCCTGAATATGGTGAGCTGATAGCTTAGCATTGGCTACATGCAAAGCCAGAGGGGGACAAGCAGTGCAGTACAGAGAGGGGAAGTGTTTTTTTCCATAAATGTCTCTGCAGGGAGTCAGGAATTTCAGTATCCTGCAGGATCAGACTCTTTGAGCAGTTGTTAGTACAGCAGAGAAAAGCTCTGCAGCCTCTGTCTGAGGGGCAGAGCCTGGAAAGGTTAAAGTCGCCTGCTCTGCGTGCCAGAACCTTCATCTCCATATCCCAGACCAAATCCCATCTGGGAATGACATCCACAGGCTCAGACCTCATCTGCAGAGAGTCTGCTGGGCTGTTTCTGGCTGTTCCTGGAGTCCTGGACAGAGGCTGTGGGTAAATCCCACGTCTGCAGGGAACAGTTGCTGTGTTCCAGCACGAGAGGCAGTGCCTGGCTCGAGAAGAAAGAGGGTGCTCCACCCACGTGGTGGGATAATCAAACCCTGCTGTCTGCAGAATGCTTTGAGGTTGCAGTTGCAGATGCAATTTACTTCCCTAATGCTCTCGTCCTGCAGCCATTGAGCTGTAAATTGAGCCCCCATTCCTGGGTTTCCCACTTTGTTCCCTCTCCCCCTGGCTATATCCCATGCAGTTTAGATGTGGCACTGGCCACTTCCAAAGGTTTCCAGCTGCAAATGGTGCTAATGTGGCTGGAAGGACAACCCTGCCTCTGAGAGAGTCTCTGCTTCCAGATGCTGCGTTTCTGGCACGGGAGAAGGCGAGAGCTGACGCTGAATGCTACACTGCTATGAAAGTGGCCGAGGCCAACAAGGTACTGTGGTGTCCTTATGCTGTGCCTGAGCAGGGAAACACTTCCTGTGGTAGGGAAACCTTCCCTGAGTAGGGAAACACTAGAGCAGTGAGGGATTGTTGTTTAAAACAAACAGCGAACAAAGCCATCCCTTCTCAGCAAAGTTTTCCTCTGACTGAAACAATTAGATCCTTTTCCTTCTTCTCTGGACAGATAAACATGTGAGGATCCATGGAATCTCTGCTCTGCCATATGCTGACAGGGCTATGGCTCTCTCTGTTCATGGAATATCAGTTTCAGTGTTGCCCTTTCACGCTGTTGTGATGAGAAATGTGAATTCATTCCAGCCCCAAGTTGGCAGGCAGAGACAGGGACAGAGTAAACCACAGTTCAGGGAAAGCACAAGTGGAGCTGCTCTGACCCCCTGGCAGAGCCTCAGAGCTGCAAAAGGGAAAACAAAACAAAAACCTAACCTGAAAACAGGGCAGTGACAGGATAGAACTGCAGGTGTGTTCCTGCCCACAGCAAGTTCCCAGGACATCCCAGCAGGAAGCATTTGTGTCCTGTGAGGGTCAGTGAGAGGGGACAGAGGGCTCTGGGGTGTTTGTGCACAGGTTTTGTCCCAGTTGTTCCATCCTCTCTGCTATAATGTCGTTATCCTGAACGAATGAGCTCTGCTCACCCAAACACACTCTGCAATCCACTCCCTGGAAAGCAGCCAGAGATATTTGCCTTCCCAGTGGCTCACATTGCAGTGCGCGATGTGTTCTCTGGAATCTGCATCTCCATCTCCAGGACATTGGGACTGAACATTTCCCCACCTGCTCCCATCACTATTCACTGCCATTTAGTCCGTGGGATGTAGAGTTCACTGAGCCCTGCTCAGAGAGCCTTCCCTGGGCACACTGTGCTCTGCTGTGGAGGGGCTGGGGCTGGGGAGAGTCTGGGCCTCCTGTGCTCCTTTGCCCAAGTCTGAGCTGCTGTGACCCATTTTCTCTCTGTGCAGCTCAAGTTAACTCCTGAATACTTGCAGCTGATGAAGTACAAGGCGATCGCAGCAAACAGCAAGATCTACTTCGGCAAAGATATTCCCAACATGTTCATGGACTCTGCAGGGAGCCAGACCAAGTCTGCAGAGGGACTGGCAGAAGGGATCCAGGAAGAGGATGGGGCAGGAACCAGCGAGGAGACAAAACTACTTCATAACATCAACTGAAAAGAAAGATTTCTATTCCTTTTATATCAAAAAACATGAACTGGGAAGTTCCTTTTTTCTTTTCCCCCCTTTCCCATGCTGAAAGAGATGAATCAGAATTAATCCTTCCAATCTTTTGTATGACAATTAGACATAAGGACTTTGGTATTTATGAGGTGGTTTTTCTGGTAACTTTTAAGCAGCCAACTCCAGGTGTGTCCTGTAGCTGCAGCTCCCCAGCTCCTGGTCACACAGACCAAGGATCCTGGAGAGGCTGCCTGGGCTATCAGCTGGCTGGGAACTTAGTTTTGGACTGAGGTGGTTTGCAGCAGTTGGAGGTAAAGAGCTGTTGAGGTTTGGGAGGTGATTTGCTGCTACAACTTGCTGTGTGTTTTTTCTTGTTGGGAATTCCAAGTACTTTATTCCAGTCTCCTTGGAACACAAGGTGCTAGACTTTGTACACTACATGTGGCTCTCCAGGCCGTGTCAGGTGGCAGTTTGCTGCCCAGACCATGTGCACCAGGAGTGAGAGCAGCTGAGCTGGAATCCTGCAGGTTCCCAGGCATGGTGGGGATCGAAGCCTTAGACCATGTGTCACGCAGGGAGTGACCCAAACTCTTCGTTTCCTGCATCCTAACACTGCTTTGTTTTCCATTTGTCATGTCTTTGTAGGGCAAAGGAGAGGTTTGCCCAGCAGTTCAGCTGCTGGTCAGGCTGTGGGAGCTCTCCTGGGGGGAATGTCCTGCCAGTGGAGAGCTGGATGTGTTTTTGGTGAAACCAGGCTGCAGGTGTGGAACTTGTCATAGTTAGGAAACTAGGGAGGAGAGAATTTCTGTCTCAGGGACCCTGACTTTGCAAAAAGCCTTGCTGGGAGGAGCTGCTGGAGTGACCAGAAGGTCATTACAGCTCATTCTCTGCTCTGCAAGAGCAACTGGATCTCAGTGTTTACAGTGTCTGACCAGAAAAAAAGGACCTTCAGGTGAGCTGAAAAGAGCAGAACAGAGTTCCAGTGGGTTTGGGTCTGAATAGACCTTGTGGAGGGAAGATTTAGTGCTAGCCAAGGACACAAACCATCATGCTGAAAGGTCACAGGGCAAAGAAAAGCCGCTCTTGTCTGCACTGTCCCAAGGTGGACTGTCCTTTTTCCTTCAACAATGCTGCAATGTACCTCTCACTTCAGAGAGCTGAGGCAGAGGCAGAGAGGGAACAGGTTTTGCTTTCCACACATGCAAAACTTGAAGATAGAAGTTCAGGCCTAGAGAGAAACATTATTTCTCTCCCTAACCCCTCTGCCCTTGGCAGCAGAGCCTGGCAACTGCTGATCTAATTGTGGCCCATACCCTAACCTGAGATGATGCTGGTGCCAGTGCTCGTTGTCAGGCACCAGCCTGGTGTGTTTACAGCCCCAAACTCCTGCACTGCCCCTGGTCCCACTCTTCAGTGTTTAGATCTGCATCAGCCTGTGTCACACTAACAGAGCTCTGATGGATCTCAGCTGTTGGTTCCACTGTTTTTCCAGCAGATTTCCCCGTGGGGAGAATGACTGGATACTTGAAAATGCAAAGCAGAAGTGAAGTCTCAGTTTCTGCTGGAGGAAAGTCCCATCTTCTTTGTATTTCCTGGACAATAGGAGCTAAGGGAAGTCTCATCTCCAGACCTACTTCAGAGCCCCAGCAGTCACAATACTGCATCCCTTGGGAGGCTCCAATATTCCTGACTCAGGTCTGTGCAGGGAGAATACAACAGGGAACAGCAGAAACTTAGCAATGAGGAGACACTGCCTGAACCCTTGAGGACAGTGTCCTTAAGGATTGCTCTGTGTTCATGCTAGAGGTTTCCATCAGCAACTAAAACCTCCTTTTCCACAAGTATTTTTCACTAATAAAAGGGCCCAACTAAGCCAAAGTGGTATTATAAATTGTGTCATTTTTTTATGTAGGACTTCACAGCAGGACAATAATTTGGGATAAAGAGCTCTTAATGCTTTTTTTAATTGAAAACATGATTGCAACAGGATTAATGTAATTTAGTTATATTGTCATGAGAGTAAAGAAGCAAAAGCAAAGTTGAGAGTGTATCAGCCTTCACAAGCCAAAATCCCTTGTTGTGTCTTCATTCAGGTTTTGTCATTCTGTGTAAAATGTCCTGGATTTTCCAGAGTGGATCCATCACTCCATGTAAACCTTTATTCCCTCTGTCTCTTTAATGAGCACTTTCTCCTCTTTCCAGAATCTTGAGATGAAGATCTGAATTTTAAAGCCACTCAAACAAAGGCACCAGAGGTTTGTGGCACTACTGATACCTGGGAATGGCTGCTGGGAGCATGGGAATGCTCTGCCAGTGCAGTCCTTTGACCTTCTTATGTACTGAATTCAGAGCCTTTTTATTTTGGTATTTGCTATGACAATAAAATGGCCTTCGATTTTAATACCTTCCATTTTAATACCTCCAGTTTGAATGTCAGAGGTTTGTGGATGAACTTCAACACGATGTGTAGATTTATTTGCAGGGCAAGATTTTCCAGAGGGAACATCAAGGCTGCTGCTGCTCCAGTGGGAGTGGGAGCTGTGCCCCTTCGTGGTGCTGGTTCTCCCTTTCCAGCGAGGAGGAGAGTGGAAGAAGAAGGGGCAAAGGTGTCTGTGTCCAAGGAATCCATCAAGTGTCTCACCCCCTGCTCTGCTGATGGAATGAGTGAAAAGTCCAGGAACAAGACTTGGGCAGCAAAAGAGCTCAGGTTTGGTGCAGTTTGCAGCAAATCCTTGTGGTGTTCCAGCAGACAAAGGGCAGGAACCTTATGGCTGTTCCCCAGCTGTGTCAATACCCACAGCACTCGGAGGGACAGTTCAGTCCTGCACATTGAGACTGATATTTGAGCTAATGGGTTCCAGCTGGCACTTCCCATTCTTCCCTGGAGCTGCTGTGATAAAGCTGAGCATTGTCCTGGTGCCTCAGCCCTGCCCCTGCAGCTCTTGGGCTCCAAGTGCTCCCCAGCACTGCCCACACCCCTCAGACTCTGCCTGCGGGACAGGGTTCTGCTCCTGGGTTCATGACTTTTTTCTATGAGGTAATTGGAATTCACGCCCCAGGGAGTCACTTTTCACGCAGGGGAGGCACCTCAAGTTTTGGGGGGGACATGGAGGGTGTTTGGGCACTGAACAGCTCCCCAGGGCAGTGGGCACAGCCCCAAGCCTGACAGAGCTCCAGGAGTGTTTGGCCAATGCTCTCAGGCACAGGGTGGGATTGTTGGGGTGGGATTGTCTCTGTAAGGACAGGAGTTGGACTGATGACCCCTGTGGGTCCCTTCCAGCTCAGAACACTCCATGATTCCATGCCTTGTTTTTGGGGGTGTTTTTCCTTGGAGCACACCAGGCCCGTCAGTCAGGGCTAGCCCTGCAGGATCACCGTGGCGGGCAGTGTGTGCCTGCTGGCCAAACATTC